GATATGAACAAGCACTTCACCGAAGATGACATTCAGATGGCTAACAAACACATGAAGAAATGCTCAAAATCCCTAGCCCTAAGAGAGATGCAAATTAAAACAACTATGAGATATCATCTCACCCCAGTCAAAATAGCAAAATTTAACAGAACAGCAAAAAACAAATGCTGGCGAGGTTGTGGAGAAACTGGAACCCTGATTCACTGTTGGTGGGAGTGTAAAATGGTGCAACCCCTGTGGAAAGCAGTATGGCGCTTTCTCAAAAAGTTGCAAATAGAGATACCATTTGACCCAGCAATTCCACTACTGGGAATATACCCTGAAGAGACCATAACTGACATCCAAGCAGATATATGCACACCCATGTTTATTGCAGCTTTGTTCACAATAGCAAGGAGTTGGAAACAACCTAAGTGCCCATCAAAAAATGAATGCCTAGAGAAGTTGTGGTATATTCGCACAATGGAATACTATGCTGCATTAAAAAACAAGGAACTCATGCAATATTTTTCAAAATGGTTGACTCTGGAGAACATTATGCTGAGTGAAATATCCCAGTCACAAAAGGACAAATATTACATGATGCCACTGTTGTAGAATGGGACTAACCTCAGGGTTGGGGAGAGACTGATATGATGTGTTCAATAATGTATACTGCACTGAAACAGAGGAGGGAGAAAACTGTTTAAGAGAGATATGTGACTAGGTATTTCTGTCATCACAGGAGTCTAGAGCGATAGCTACATGGTGGATGGGACCTGGGGGAGGGTTTGTAAAACAACGAAAGAATCTTTTCTTTTACTTTTCCATAATTTTTGACTCATGTACTTATAACTTGTTAAATTTGGGTCTTCTAGGTTGCAACACCCCCATGATACATCTTCAAGGATATGAACATGTACGGCTAATCACAATCAATAACAGTGCATCTGAATTCCAAAATCAATCTCCATAATAGTCTATGTGTTTCCTACTGCCAAAGGGGCCCTTTAGAGTAGTGAGAGAAGATCTTCACCCTGAAACCCACAGCGTCCCTTTTCAGCAGGAAGTAGCTAAGAGAATACGCCATCCTTTTTTCCTTATGACTCAGGGTGAAGTCTCTCTCAGGGAGGAGTGATAGGGAATGGCAAAGGACACACTGACAAAGGAGATTAATCAGAACTGACTTTGACAAGCACTGTGGCAATTGGACAATTAAAAGAGACATTCGGATGGCAGGGGAAGAAGAACGAACTGGGGAGGAGGGTGGAGAGAATGGTGCAGCAATGAAGGAATGAAAACCCAAAATCCCTGTAAATGTTCATTAAATCTAATAAAATTTAATAATAATAAAAAAATTTCCAGTATAAAAAAAATAGATGATTTTAATGAATTCTTGAGTCCCTTGAAGGAAATGAAAGACCGCTGGTGACTCAGTGGGTCAAGTGCACACATGCTAACCAAAAAGATCTGCAGCTACCTGTTGTGTGTCTCTGGGTCAGAACAGATCCACAGCTGACCCTCCAGTAGGTTTTCAGAGGCAGTAAATTATGAGACTATGCATCTCTCTCCTGCAGAGCAGCTGGTGGATTCAAATTGCATGTCTTTTGGATTGCAGAGTAGCTTTTTACCGCTAGGCCACTAACATGTGGCGACCTGCTTCCCTAAAATGTGCAATCTCCTCCTGTGTGATTTATAGTCTCCTGAAAACCTGCTGGAGGGTCAGCCAAGAGTAGGTTCTCACCTGATCACGAGAAAAGAGAGAAACCTATTCTACAACCTTGTTTAGAATAGGGTCTCAACTGCTCCTCTGAGCTAGTGAGAGGTCATTTGAATGTCAGGTGAGCTCTAATGCAATCTAAGCGGTATCCTTATAAAACAGGAGGACTCTGGAAGATGCACTGGGAAGGACTACCAGGTGAAGGTGCATTTACAAACCAAGGGAAACAATGAATGCCCATGGCTTCCAGAGCTGGAAAGGTCCCTGTTAAGTAGGCCTCGAGGACACAACCCTGAAGACGCCAAACCTCCAGCATTGGGAGCCGGTCTATTTCTCCTCTCGTAATCCACCCAGTTTGTGGTATTTTTACATGGCCAACACTAGAAAACTAAGGCAGTAGGTAAAGTTCTTTTCTCTTTGTCCTTGAAATAAAATCATTTCCTGATGTTGAGGGGAGAGGCCTTCTTGTTTATTTAAAAAAAAAATAAAATCTGTAGCCTTAGAATCCCCATGAAGCAGTTCTACTCTGTCCTCTAGGGGCACTATGAGTCAGAATCAATTCAATGGCAGTGGGTCTGGGTTTGGGTGTGAAGTAAATGAAAGAGAAATATAACTGCCACTGCTATAATCATAAGGGAAATAAGGACAATCCTAAAACTAGTCACCAAGAAGTTTCATGGACCTGATTTTTAAAATTCCCATTTTTCAGGACTGCAATCAGTCATGAACCAGTCTGTGTGATGCTGAATGTATAGTCAAGAAGGGGATGAAAATAAACATCAAGAAAAGCATTTTCCATGATCTTTTTTATTTAACATATATCGTACATGTAAACAACTTGCATAAAATCCATAAAAATACAATCCTCCTATGTAAATGCCACCTTATTCCTAATACATCTTTTCATTCTTTTAATGAAAATCTTTAATTCTCTGCTTTGATACTATGCTCCCTTAGCCAAGCCTGGTTAGATGCTTGTCTTTTTATAGAAATACTGTCCTTTGTTTTTTAAATGCCACAGCAATAAGCTATTTGTATCTCCACCTCATCCATCTGAACTTTGCTCACACTAAAGCAAAAAATACTCTTAAATGCTAATGATACATAAAATACTAAGGTTTAATACTGTTTTGTCATGTAAATTGGGTCTACCCCTTATTCCACATTGCCATAAAAGATATTTAGAGTTGGCAGCACCGGCTGTTGCTAAATAGGACCCAGACTGAGTGTTGCAGCTCACATACTGTGGCCTGGGTTCTAAACAGATTTATCTAAAATACCATCAGAACTTGCTGGTGGAGATACATTCATAAATACTGTTACAAAAGTATTCTTTAAAAAACAATTTCTAACATTCTCCATGTGTGAAATAGTATGTAAATACTTTGGGGTTCCCCCCAAAACAGGAATTTCCATTGATTACACGTGAATTTATTATGAAGGGGATTATTTTTTTTGGGGGGGGGAAGAATGGACAATAACTTTATAAGTATGATTTTTAAAATGTTAAGTGGAGGACAGACTTAGTCAGCTACACTTGGGTGAAAGGGTGGCTGAAGGCGAGCACAGCCCTGCTTCCCCCCAACCCTCAGCCTTGATGCCCTCTTGCCATTTTCATGGGGTGCCACAGGCTGCTCAAAATAAAGACTCCTAATCTACAACTCTGCAGCTGCTTTCTATTATCTGAGACTGGCAAACGTCGAAGGAATCAAACCAGCAAATGAGAACAAGGGTAGCTCCTCTGCACTGGCTCCAGGGAAGGTGACTGGGAACAGGGGATGCTTGTGCCGAAGGGCACCCCTTCCACCTGGTGCACTGTCTTTGCAGCTTCCTAACAGAAGATAGCGAGTGAGTGCTTCCCTGACCTGGCTCATCCTTTGTCTCTGGTAAAAAGGCAGAAAGGGAACAGGTCTTGCGTGACTCCCAGGAGTGGGCACGGGAAGCAGTCCTGAGGACTCTGGCTTCAGGCCAGTCCACAGGGAGGCTAACCTGCCTGTGGTTAATTAAATGTGTAGTCGGCCATGGTCATGGTTTGGTTAGGATTTAAAATTTAAAAAACTCACAGTTTCTCAGAACTAAGAAGATTTACCTTTTTGAAGAATCTCATTTCACCCACATTAACTTCTAAGAAAGAAATACTCGTACAAGAAATTCAAAGCAGGTTTTGAATTATTTTTACAAAAGGAAGACTGGATATACTCATTCTTCACACTGAAATGATGGAGGCTTGGACCAATTTATAGCATTGGATTTTATCACATTAAATAAGGGAAATTTATTTTAAAATAAAATATTAAAAACTCTATTTATTCAAAAGGTAAATCTTTTTGACAGGGAAATTGGTCATGTTCTATTATATCTTAATAGTTTTTTAAAAAATTACCGTATACCACAGCCCACAGTTTCATTGTGAATTATGTCTACTCAAACAGTTTGTAATTGCATTATATATGCAAGTGTTCAAAATTGATTTTCCTAAAATTACAGTTAAATTTGAAGCATTTCAAAGTGATTTAAAAGCGTTAAAATATAAAAATTCAAAGAACACTAAGAAATGAGAAAAATGCAGTTATTAAAATTCTTTTTTAACAACAAAAAATTACTTTGTAAGTAACTGAGTAAACAGCACTTATCTGACAAACGACGTTGGAGGAAGAGACAGAGAGAAGACATATTAATGGCGCAGTAAATCATCAAAGGAATTCAGTCCAAACCAGCAGACCAAAGGTTATTAATAAGGGGCAGGAAATGAATGCTTCATTAACAAATGCAAGAGAAAAGAAGAACATAAACAAGTGAAACAGATCATTTCATACAGCAAACACATATATCTACGCCCACTTTACTCTTACTCAAATTGATGGCAGAGACAGACATGACTGATGAGTTTACAATAATCAATAAAGTATCCAAATGATAGTAATAGCAAGAGGGAGAAGCACCAGCAAGGGGTGTCAATAAAATCAGCTCCTACTTAGTTCAGAATGGACTGTATTCTCTTATTCTTCTTGCCACATTTCTCTCACACAGGTAGCTTTGCTCACTTAAGCATGGATATTTAAGTTGTACAAGCACATATTAATTTGCATAGCAAATTGTAAGGGACATATTGAAATAATAACCAATGAATAAAGGTTTAATTACTTTTTACAATCAGCATGGTATTCAACTTCACCAAATAAAACGTTTTCTATTTGAAAACAGTTACCTATAAAAGTTTTGTGATTTGAATTAAAAACGATGTTATTACTTATTAGCAAAACATTAAAACCAGTACTGATGGGCTCTGTGGAAGCAGCAGTCATTCCTTTATAACTTCTAACACTTTGTAAACATTGTTCTGGAATACAGTAGTGAAGTGAGGCTTTGACTCCTTCACCAAGAGGTTACACAGCGGCGTTTTCCCGGCGTTAGCAGGATCCTCCACATCCCAGATCTCAGGCATACTGCAACCAGGCCTAGAAAATCCAATACAGAGATTAAAAATCAACATATATCAAATAACCTTAGTCCTGATTCTATTTTACTTGTCCTATTTAAACAGTTTAACAATTGATCATTTTTGTTGTTTGGTGCCCAAGTCGGTATGATACATAGCAACCCTATGAACAGCAGATCCGAACCCGGTCCTACTCTGTGCCATCCTCACAATCTCTGATACACTTGAACCCATTGTTGCAGTCACTGTGTCAATTCACCTGGTTAAGGGTCTTCTTCTCCTTCGCCGACCCTCTACCTTTCCAAGCGTGATATCCCTCTCCAAGAAACATGCCCAAAGTATATGCAATAAAGCTGTGTCATCTTTGCCTAACTCCTCTTTAGAGTACGTAAATGTAACAAGGAGTTGAAGGAGGACAAATAAGACCTACAAAATCCATGAATGCAGGCACTGGCGTAAAAGAGATTTGGGCTGCAACCTAGCTCGGCTGCTTTGCAACAACATGATGGCTGGACAGTTAACATCATTCAGTCTGTTGCTATATTTGTAAAACTGATTAAATAACCATGACAGAAGTTTGTTACGAGGAGTAATAGAAATAGATCTAGAATCTCATAATAGTTGTTGGCAGTGGGTGAGTTATGTTTTCTCAGAGCTGTTTTGTGGTGTGTTTTCTTTTTAAAAAGAAAACTTTTCCAGTAAGCCTTTTTATCTCCAGTTATAGACCCATCCCCCTATCTGAGACTATGAGGCAAGTTGTTGTTAGGTGCTGTCAACTAGAGTATGACCCACAGCAACCCTATGAACAGATGATTTGAACCCCGTCCTATCCTGTGACATCTTTACACTTCCCAACACACTAGAGCCTCATGAAGCAGTCACTTTCCAATCCACCTGGTTGAGGGCCTTACTCTTCTTCAACTACCTTTCCAAGCATGGTATCTCTTTCTAAGGAATAGCCCCTCCTAGCAACATGCCCCAAATATGTGAGGCAAAGTTTCATCATGTCTCCAAGGAGCACTCTGGCTGCACTTTCTCCAAGACATGTTTGTTCCTTTGGCAGTCCAGTGTATTCAGTACTCTTCTCCAGCACCATAGCTCCCTAACTAACAATAAAATAAAACGTGGTATTTCTTCTCCTCCATCTATCAAGTCCTACTTTGTATGTTTTAACTATTGCTAGAATTTCTAATCCGGGTGCTCTAGTGGGGTAAATAAAGTCATTGAGAGTCAGAATTGACTTGATGACAGTGAATTGCACTGCTGGTGAACAATGGTTTCATGGCCATCAAGCTGATGCCTCCTCACGGTGACGTCACGTTTCAGAGTAAAACTGTGACCTATCGGTTTTCCATGGCGCTAGCAGTGCAGCACATTCCACGCTGTGCTGTTAAACAGGTTAGCTGTTTAAATCCACCAGCTGCTTCATGGATGAAGGAGAGGCAGCCGGCTCCTGTAAAGATGCACTGACTCAGACACTTGATGGAGATTCACCACGAATCCAAATCTCATCCAAGGCAGTAGGGTTTGGGTTTATAATCCTTATAGGAATATGTGACCAGGCATTTCTTCCTTAGTACCTCTAAGTGGTGTGGTTCCCATTATCAACCTTCTCAGTGCCAACTGTGACATCCAGGGACAATTCTTTCATATTGGCTATTTCATTTCACATTTTTCCATTATAAAACAAGGCTATTATAAATTCTTTTTATCTCTCTCTCTTTTTTTTAACATGAGAAAGTGTGAACGCAGTCCCATACTACCACAAATTATGCACCTGAGTTTCCCACATTTGGGGAAACAGCAGGGGTCAGCACATCTGGAGTACAAAGGATAGGCCTCACCCTGGGAAAACTGCCTTCATGATCATGTAGCTCCCTTGCCAGGTAAGTATTATAAACATTCTTCAGCCTGTATCTGTTCTGCAATATCAACTTCTGAAGCAGCAGTATCGTTCTGTCAAAAAGCCAACATAATTTTTTTACTATGCATTTCAGCAAATGATCTCTGAAAAAGGTTCTACCAATGAGTGTTCCCACAGGTGTTTGAGTGCACAATTTTTTCACACCCTGAAAGAGAGCAGAGTCAACAAACATTGAGCAAGAAAGACTGGACTCATGTTCTCTGCCTTTTCATTTTCTCACATGTCAACACTAAACAGTACCTCTGGCTAGCGGGGATGGCATTTCACATGGATTCACAAGCTGCACCCATGAGGGCAGCAGAAAAGACATCAAAGGACATTACAGCAAATCTGCCACTTTTCCAAAGTGCTAAAGAGCAAGGATACCAGTTCAAACAATAAATTGTACTTGACCTAAGTCATGGAATTTTCAATTGCTTTATATGCATGTCAAAGTTGGAGAATGAATAAAGAACATCAAAAGAGAACTGACATCTTTGAATTGATGAAGAATATAGAATACATGGTGAACTGCTAAAACGAACAGGTCTGTCTTTGGAGAAATGCAGCCCCAATACTCTGTGGAAGCAAGGGTAGAGAGACTTTGTCTCACATACCTTGGGTATGTTGTTAGGAGGCTCATTCTCTAGTTAAAGGCCTGATGCTTACAAAAGTGTAGTGTCAATGACAGAGAGGAAGACCCTCAGTAAGATGAACTGATTAGGGGGCTACGATCATGGGCTTAATCACAGCAGAGACTGTGAGGGGCGCAGCACTGGGCAGGGGTCCTTGTTGTTGTCCACAAGGTCGCTGTGAGCTGGCGCTGACTTGACGACACCTGACAACAAGAGAGTGGGGAGGAGACTGTAAGAAGAAGAATGTGGTCTAGCTCTCAGGGCAAGCTCTCAGCTTACCCCAAGAGGACAAGGAGCCATCCTTATGCACTCTCTCTGGCTGAGAGCAGCATTCTTTATCTGATATTATTTTCTTTCCTTTTTAAAAATTATTATACTAGCTTTTTTACATGGTTCAAATACATCATTTTCCACACAGGAACCCCCAAATCCTTTACCACTACCACCATCAAATTGTATGACCCGATGATTAACATCCACCCATCCTCACTCCTCTGCTAACCCCCTCCCCCAAAAGCTCATACTCATTCTACAATAATGGTTTTATACAGTATTTTTCCTTATGGGACTGAGTTAGTTCACTTGGCATACTGCTCTCTAGTCCCTCCCAAGTTAGGTGGTAATTTACAAGTGCTGCTGCTTCATACTGCGTAGTATTCCATTGTGTGAATGTACCACAACTTCTCAATCCATTCAACTGTGGTTAGGTATCTGGGCTGTTTCCATGTTCTTGTGATGGTGAATAATGCTGCTATGAACATGTCTTTCGTCTTCTTTTGTTTACAAAACAGTGTGTGAAGACTATCCAGGTGCTCAGATCCCAGGCACTCTGCAAACATCTGGAACACAAAGGCAATCTACCCTCTGCAGCTGTCCCATATTCAAAACACTACGTGGGGCTAGAAACAGGGAAAACTCTTCAACAAGACTCAGTTTAGCTTGAAGAGGAAAAAAGATTATTAAAATGATTTTCTTTTCTCATTAATCTACAAGAAGTCTCAGCTTGGCATAAGTGAACTGGAGAGCACAGCCTTACAAAGGTAAACAAATACAAATTTATACACATTCTCACACACAACCCATTGTTTATTTTTTCAATTACAACTTTATTTTCTTAATTACAGTCACAGAAACAATAATCCTCCCTATAAATTTTTATTAGATTCTGTTCACTTGGAATATGCTAATAGGAAAATCAACAATTAGTATTTATTTAAGTTTTCCTGTGGAAAGATACATAGAAGCTGTAGCAGAAACTTCTTTTCACATATGAGTCAGTAAAGAATAATTCTGTTGTCGTTCCCAAGTGCACCACTGCCATATGGTGGGCGAGTACGATGAAGTCAGAGGGGTATCAGTATACTGAAGCCTTCTGTTCACTGGGAGGTGCTCTTCAGGCAATTCTGACTCACAGGCACCCTGGTCCTGCACCATCCTCACAATCTTCACTATGTTTGAGCTTCTTGTTACAGTCATTCTGTCAATGCATCTCAGTGAGGGTCTTCTTCTATTTCACTGAAAGGACTTTACCAAAAATGATATCTCCCCTTGAAAACACGTTCCAAGTACATTAGGTAATTCTTGCCATTCTTAGAAAGGAAAGTTCTAGCTACACTTCTCCCAAGACAGATATGTTTGTTCTTTTGGAATTCCATAATATACTCAATATTCTTTGGCAACAATATGCAAAGGCATCAATTTTTCTTTGGTCTTCTTTATTGATTATCCAACATTCACATGTATAATAAGATACTGAAAATACCACAGCTTGGTCAGGCACATTTCAGCCCTGAAAAATGGCATTTGTAAGGAGGCCTTTTGCAACAGCTCTCTCCAGTGCAATATCCTATCTGATCTCTAGACAGCTGCCTCTATGGGCAAGCTTGGTTACAGAGTAATGTCATATTCAAAAGTAATATAGTATTTCAAAAAACAACCTTCATTTCTGATGAAATGGCTTCTCATCTCTTCACCAAGTGAATGGCTTGCTACTCTAATAGGTGCTCACTAAATGACTGTCACATCAGGCTACTTGAAAGAACATTAAAATCCTTATTTGCTCACAAATCATACTGACACAGCTATATCCTGGTCAATGAATCTTTCTGTAGACACAGATATACTTTAAAGTGTAAACCAACAGAGTGTGGGTCATAGTAAAGTGAAATATTTTCTAACTCATATAAGATGTGAATAACAAAAAAGCAAGCTGCAAGTGGAGCTGTGGGTAGGGACTCAGATCTCCCCACAGGCTTTGATGTGAACAGTGGAGGCCCTGACTCTTCAGCTGCCTGATTTATTCCATTATAATGAGATAATTACTGTATTTTATCTGAGACTCTGGAAGTCTTTTGAAAAAACAGATGTACTTTTAGATAAAAGTTTTAAGTAATATCAAAAGAAAATATTAGTAATTTGGGAGATCATCATGCCAATATAATCCCTTTAAGATAACATGCCAATCAGCACAAAATAAACAGGTATTTATCACCAGCTTCTTCTCAACAGAAAGATGGGGAATCTCCTCGCATGCCATTTACAGCCTCTGAACACCTGCTAGAGGGTCAGTTATGAGTTGGTTCTAACTTGCCAACACTGATCTGAGTTGAGCTGTTTTATCAGAAAAGAAAAAGTACATTCAGATAGTTATCTAAATATGGTTTTCCACTTCTATTTTTTAAAATGTTATATATATCTCACACATGCTACCATTAAGGCATTTGTCTGAAAACTCAAGAGACTTTTCATATTACATAAATATAACATACTGATTGCATGGAGTACTCACTTAGATCTTCGGACACACCACGACTCTTCTAGAATGTAATAATTGACTTTCAACTTCATCAACTGCTGCTTCACTTCTTCAGCTGCTTTTCGGCTATACATTGAGTAGACAATTTTTGTTCTGGCCCTTTAAAGAAAAACAATTGGGCAGAAGTGTTTCAAGATTAAAACAGATTAGAGTCACTTATTTGGAAGAAAGCATTACATGTAACTAGAAAAGAGTATATTCTGTTAGTATTTTTGAAGTCAGGTCAAGAGAAAAAGCTTTGAAGGAGTTCCTGGAGAGCGATGAGAGGTACAAAATCAGCTTTACCAAAGAACTTGGTCTTTGTCCTTGGTTCCTGAGAGATAATCTCTCAAATCTTGGAATTTCCCAAATGACTGTCTTGTCTTTGTTCTCTGGGCCATGCCTGGCAGGTGATAGTAATGAAGTGATGATGATTCATAGGTAATCGTTGGCCAGGCCAAAAAGTCCCACTTCTTATGGTCAACCCAAGCTCAGGGGAGCAGAGAACAGTAGGCTGTTCAATTAATCAATCAATGAAAACTCTGGAAATCGCAGCTCAGCTAACCCTCTGGTTGGCAAGTGACATTGGTGCATTATTAAGTGGTGGTATGTTCCTTCATGGGACATGGAAAATGTATACGTGGATTCTCCCTTATGTAACACTCTATATATTTTTATATTTGTAACCTTTTAATTACACTGTAATTGTAAATACAGCACTTTCCAGAATTTTGTGGATCAGTCTAAAGAATTACTACTAAACCTGAACAAGTAATGAGAATCTCCAATGTTGTAGCCAACAGGCCAGAAGTGTGGAAGACCCAGGGACCCCTGCGTAAATGGCTGGCATATGCATTCTTAGGGCAAACTTGGTAGTCTAGAGTGCTTTTAACTTGCAAGACTGAATTTAGGTTGTGTAATTAGGGTCAGAAGCCCAACTGCATTTGCTGTTGGTGTCAAGAGGATATTTAGAGTTAGAGTTGGCCTCACAAAAGGTACAGGCAGACACTATGAGGATGCTGGTGAGGTCAAAAGACAAAGGCTCCAGCACATGGAACCCAAGGGGTATTTTACATACACCCTTAAGTGACCAAAGCTAGTCTTTTCTTGTTTCACATTCTTAGCCATCTAATCACAAATTAAAAGTCAAAGACTTACTTTGTGGACAGAGCTGAACTATATAAACACAACTATAGATGTAGTATAAAATGTAACTCTTTACCAGTATTAGTTAGCATTAATTAATTTTATTTCTAGATTTTAAAAGTTAAACTTACTTCAACAAAATAATTCTGAAAATAAGTTTTCCAAAGTGGATTTTTTTCAATGACAAAAACAAAATTTTTTATTTACAGAATGAATATCACAGTTACTAAAAAATATTAATAGAATTTACCCAATAATTTTGCAAATTATTATCTTGAATGTTCCTAGAAAGTGCATGAAAATTAAATTTCTTTTTTCATATAAGAGAATGTGAGGCTCTAAATTATAAAAAAATTACTAAATCTTAAAATAAGGCATTATAAAAAATAAGGTGGGCAGCTATAATGGCAGCTAATTAATGTACAAGATCACTATTGTAAAAAATAGGAAGATAACTGTAAGTTGAATATAAATGTCCAAAAGGGAAAAGGTAAGGGATGGAACTCACTAGGATAACAAGAGTTTAATGGGAAGACCGACTGGGGGGAGGAGGAAAGAACAGAAAAGACTCAAAGGGGAAGGATGGTGAAAGGATGATGGAATAACAGGCATAGATCAATAGTAATTGATTATATAGGGCACAGTAATGATTGTCTGAAAAATAATGTAAACGAGGGATTCTATGGAACACAATGTATATGAATGAAACAATGCAAATAAATCACTGTATGGAAAAGAATAAGGTGGGCAACCAGTATGAAAATTTACAGTTTATTAAATCTAAAAAAATGCCATGAATACAGAAAAGACTGACTAAAAAGAGCAGTCATGGATAGTTACTAATCCTCCCCCAAATACATATCTATACCCACACTCTAAATGGGGTATTTTTTCTGATTATTTTTATGTTTGCACAACACACTTCAATTCTGTCTTCAGTTAAGAAAGTATCTTGACCTTCCTCCATTCGATCAAAGGCCAGAAATGCACAGCCCATAACAACTACCCATACAACTTGTGCATGCCAGCAGCATCATTTCTTTTAAACAGCAACATATAATCAAGGAGGTCTGTTATCCAAATTCTGAAAACAGAAAGTTGGGGGTTTTTTATTTTAAATTATCCAATCTGAGGTTTGACTTCTACTATTAATGGAAAATTCTTTTAAATGAAAATAAAACTTACTCTCTCTGCTTAATTATGATAGAAATTGCTGGAAATGACAACAGATCAGACATGGAACTTAAACCAAGAAGCGAGGCTAAATGTTAAGTAACTTCAAAGGGACTCAGTATTTAAGGCAAGGATTTCAGCTGCTTTCTTTAATACCATTTCATACTTATCCACAAGTAGACTTAAAATAATGACTTATAATTATTTCCCATTTCACTTGTCTGAGTGTTTTTATTCTATCATGTGGCCTTAACTTTACTTCATTTTTAAAATCATATAGAATTCATTTTTGAGGAACATACATTATAGAATACTTCCTAGGCACTCACAATTTCAAGAACATTTTGATATTTTCATGTACAAAAAGCTACTTTAATTTGATTTAAACAACTCTTTAAATGAGGCTTTAAATTTAATATAGTATAAGCACTGTCTCTGACATTCTCCTGATGAGTCTTACTCTAAACTCCTTTTAGTGTTTTTGAGGTACATGTTGGTAGGTAAACTTTCTTTAGCCTGCAACTAAGAATTTACCACGATAAAACTATGGAAGTCAGTTTTTTCACATTTTTATCATAAATTTGTTTTTGCAAAATTTACATCTCAGAGATGTTTTCTTCCATTTGTTGATTTTATCTTCTTTTCTCCTAGTTCTGGTCTCTCTCTCTCTCTCTCTGTGTGTGTGTGTATCTGAGCATGTACACATCACAGATAAAACTTTCCAATCCTTGACTATAGCCATTAAAATTCATCTCTCATTATATTTTTTGTCTTTTACTTAAAAAAAATTTCAATAGACTCTTTCATTTCAGAATAATTTTAGATTTATAGACAAACACTGCAGAAAGTTCTTGTGTAGCTGCACCTTGCTTCCTTTACTATTATCACAATAAATAATAATAATTATTATTATAAGCTAGACTTTCTAGGGCTGAGTATATTTTAAGCTTTGGAAATTTAGAAAAAGATATTTCCACAGTTAAGGCACTGTAGGTAAAAATACTAGTACTATTCTTGACTCTTAATCCTGGAACAAACAAACTGATTGGGTCAAATACATTATTTCTGTCAAGACAGAAGTGGCTTCCTCCTTCAACTGGAGGGTTACAGAGGTTTTGACTTCTAGACTAAGCTCCAATTGATTTTTAAAATTATTTTCTTATTATATAGGCATTATCAGGTAATTAATAGGCATCAAGGCTAAGAGAAAAATCTTGGTGGTGCAGAGAAATTAAGTGAACAAAAAGCCATGGAGTCTGAATCCTCCAGGGGTTGGGAGGGAGAAGGATGTAGAAGTCTGAGTCCATAAAGCTTTATAGCCTAGATTACCATAAAAGCATTTTTTTTTGTCTTATAGGGACAAACACTGACAGCAATGATTTGACAGGAGATTAGGTAAATATATGTCTATTATCAATGTTTTAATATCATTAATAGATAAACAGATAAATAAAAGACTGAATAAAACACAACTTATATGGAAACACCATACCTTCAGAACAGAATGTAGCTGACAGTGTACCCAAATAAACTATACAGATTGGAAAAGCAAAGACTCTGGTTTGACTTTTAGTATCCTGAAGTAGGGTTTGTTTGCTTTTTTTTTTAATGAGGACAGCTGTCAGTCACCTTGTACTTGGCTCTATGGGACAAACTCTGACTGATAAGGGTTTTTTGGATGTTGTAAAGCATTGTTAACTGGTAGGAATTGAACAAAGTATGGTTTCATTCTTCTGTCGGCTGGAGGAGATAACCTCAAAGGTCAGAGCTGTGTTGCCCTGTGTAGCCTTAAACATTCTGTCTAATTAGCAGCCTTCTAGCATTGCTACCTCCTCTCCCTCAATCTCCTATCAGCAAATCCTTTTGGAAACACTTTTTATTCTGCTTCTCGCCTCACTCACTATCTACTGGATAAGAATATTTGGGTTTTATGAACAACATGAGAACGGTGTACTAACCTCAACCCTGCATCTTCATAATGTGGGTGATTCACAACTGGCCGGAGAGCAGACAGCTTAACACTTGCCATCGTGGGCATGGCTCCTGCAAACACCGCATCTGTGAAGCAAGACAGAAATTCTCAGGTAAACACTCAAGTCGGGGAGTCTCACAGTTTCAACTCAGTCACAGTCACTACAAAAGTGAAGACATGCTTAGAGAAGTTACTCACTCAAAGAATTAATCTAAACAACCAAATCAACATGACTGTTGTGGAGTAGAGATTTTGACTTTTGGGACTCTACGACACAGATTAGAACTGCCTGATGGGTTCTTATGGTTGTATTATCTTTATAAAAAAAGACTGGCTGCTACACCTTTTCCCTCAGAGTCATTAGCAGATTTAGACCTTTTGATTAGAGGGCAAGTGCCTGAGTCACTGAACAACCAGGGCTGCTCTGAATGAAGTGAACAGATGATAACGTGGTGACCAGAAAACAGGCTTGAATAAGCTAGTCTCCTCAATCTTCACCATTAAAGCCTCTTTGCTTTTTCTTTCCAAAGGTTTTTAGAAACCTTTTCTGAGTCTAGGAAAGAATTATCAAGTCAACTGGAAAATTTTTTAGCCCCAAAAAGCTGTGGAAGATGATCCAGTATCTAATATCCAATCATTTGAGTGATAGTCTGATGGCCATCTTTATTTTATGAATAAAATATTACATTGTTTGAGTTCATTTCAAGATGGAGCAGGAAGGGCACAAACTTAAAAATTCATGAGCTAAAAAGAAAACGTCTTTTTTACAATATGGTATGTAAAAATGTGTAGGGATCCCTGGTGGCTGCATGGTAAGGCACTGTGCTGCCAGTCTAAGAGCATGTGGTCAGAAGCTGTTCTGTGGGCAAAGACGGGCAATCTCCTCCTATGCCATCTACTGCCTCTGAAAACCCACCGGAGTGTCACCTCCAATTCAGCAGTACCACATACATAAATTTGGAAAAATTTTGTAAAAAACTACAATGTACAGAAAATAGCATATTAAGTTACTAAAAAAAAATGTACATAGTTTTCCTTGCCAGGTAGGACTGAAATCCCATTTCTATAGAAGTAGTACTGCTCCAGAAGTTCAAGGTAGCCCAGGTTTAAGATTTTTTTGATGTGGGTAAAAAACCCACTAGATTAATAAAAAAACAACAAAAGTTTCTACCTGGTTTAGTACTGTATTTGATCCACTCTATAAGTTCTTCTTGTGGTAAATTGCTGAACTCTCCAACAATATTCCACTGAGTTTGAAGATTTGCTGAACCTTGTATTGACATTGCTGCTAAAACAGCAAAAACAACTGCACCAGGATGTACCTTGCAAAAGAGCCATCCAAATAGCTGAAACCAAATCAAGGGTACATTGGCAACTGTTAGTACACAGCAGTATGTAGCCAGTGAACCTTCTTCCCAAAGTAGAAGGTGACACCTGCTATAGTCTCTAATAAGGATTAAATTACCCCATGGTTATTGTCCAGAACCAATGATCCGTGGGACCAACAGAATTCTGCCATCAGTCATTTACAGGTACGACATGATTTAGATCAACCTGCTTTTTCCAACTAAGGTTCAACTAAGGCCAGACCATTTATAGTTTGAAGTGAACAAGGCAAAAGGAAAATGTGACGTCTCTTATTTATAAATCAGTAAGAGTAAAAAAGACCCAACAGCAGAGCATTAAACCAAGTGTGGGACCCTTCTGAGCACCAGGGTCTTTGTAAAGGCCAAGACACAGGACCAGAAAGCCAGCCCTGGGTAGAATTCTACTTCCTGTCACACTAAGTTTAAAGTAAGAATGTTCCAACCAGTTTCCTCTCCTGGTCCAGCCCTGAGAACCAAGCACAGTTGGCCCCACCTAGCTCCAGGCTCGCCATTAGGAAGCACTGCTCTCAACACCACCAGCATTCTGACTGGGAATCTGAAGGCTGCTGACTAACTTGTTCTATATTCAAAGAGCCAATACACAATAAAGGTGCTTTATTTCAATCATTCTCCTCACAGTGTTTTCATTTATGGATCTGTCGAGTTAGATTTCAAGCTTTTTGATGACATACACCTCGACATACACCCCTATCTGCCATCTTATGCCACATATTTCCTAAATTTAAAAGAAACCCTGTTATTGCACTTTGGCTGTTTGTTGATGAGAAGGTGACACTGTTGAGAAACAGAAATCTGTGAGTACAAAATGAGAAGGCAGTCATCTAGGAAAAACAAGCAGCCAACAGCCAGAGGGTTTGAATGAAATGAAAAAGTGAAAGTCGAGAATATGCACACAAATGTACATAAAGAAATGAAACACTAAAGGAAAGTTTGATAAATGTAGTTATTAGTAAGACTGTAATGGGGTAGGGGAAATCCCACAATAAACACGAACGAAACATAATGTAAATCAAAGACTGTATGAAACAATGTACAGGAATTAAACTCAATATATATGAATGATTCAGGCCATGGTCTTTGTAATCACTTGCTATGTGTAGGAAAGCTGGACAATGAATAGGAGGATAGAAGGAGAATTGATGCCAGCTGTGGTACTGGAGAAGAGTATTGAATATACCATGGATTGCTAGGAGAACAAACAGGTTTGTCCTAGAGAGGGTGAGACCAGGCTGCTCCTTGGAGGCAAGGATTCTGATGTTTCATCTGACATACTTTGGACATGTGCAAGGTAGGACCAGTCTTTGGAGAGGGATGTCAAGTTTAGGAGGGTAGAGGGACAGCACAAGAGAGGAAGACCCTCAATGAAGTGGACTGATTCAGTGACTGGGGTAATAAGGTTTAGGGGTATTGGAAACAATAAGGTCGGCACAGGATAGAGCAGGGTTTAGAGCTGTTGTATGTAGGGTCGCTATGAGTCACAAGTGATTCAATGGCACATGACAACAACATATGAATGATAAAAATATTAATTAAAAAAGAGTTTGATACTGAGAACATTTGATTTGAAAGGTCCTAGAAATCAAATGGTAAAACTATTTGTAGGATATGTTTCAAAATAAAATATTTCAGCCAGCAAGCATTCCTTTCTATTAGCACCTGCAGTTATCATTCAGGGATTCAGTGTGCACTGGTTTGGAGTCTGCTGTTTCTCCAAAACGATTTAATCAGATTTGGCCCTTACCCTTCAGGGGAGATTAGTGCAAAGTCATGAGGAGTTTATTTACAATTTACCTCCGGGGTTTTAAAGAACTCTGGGTAAGTCAATACTAATTATTATTATTTTGATGATGATGATGTAGTATTGGTTTGCCTAGAGAATTTGTATACATTGTGTTTCATTCTTGGGCCATTCAATAATAAAAGTTAGCGCAAACCATCACAGTAGTTAGGCAGTAACAAGCAGCTTACCTGTCTTGAGCAGATCAAGGAAGCCATGACACACATGTGCGGGGTCAAAAAGAGTTTTAGCCTCATAATTAAAATACCCAGCGCTGCATACGCTAGCAGCTGCAGTGCATGATACACCAGCTGAGAGAGATAGAAAGGAAATTTTTTTCATTTTCACTTTTGAAGTTTAAGAAAATAGTGTTAAATGCAAATACAAACAAAAGGGGGAAACCTTCAAAATAAAAAAAATAACAAGCACCCCCCCCATCTTTAATGTCTGAAATTTCTTTCTAAAAACCTTATAAAAAATCACTATCAAGCCACTTTATTTTGATAGATGTTTAAAATTATAGTTGCAAGGCAAGTAATTCTACTATGGGTCAAGCCTGTGGTTAATAAAGTCCACATTTCTGAGTCTAGCTGGGTGCTACAAAAAGATCAAATAAAAGATGGTCAATAGAAAGGACTATTTTGGAACTGCCATTAAATATAGGTTGATCACAAGGAAGTCAGAGTAACACTAGGTCACATCTATGAAGCCTCAGGGCAAAGGTAGCCAGAAGAACCCACTGCCAGTAAGTTGATTCCAACTCCTAGCTAGCAGCCCTGCAGAATAGAGGAGAAATACCCAAGTGTGGGCTCTTCGTGGAAGAAGATGGCTGCACCGTTGCAGCTGGTGGGCTTGAACCATTAACCTTTAGCTTAACAGTCAAATGTCTTAGCTATAGCACTTCCAGAACTCCTGAGCCAGAAGAAATTATCTTAAATCACCTCTTCATATGAAATGATATAGGTTCCAGAAATAAGCTTCTAATAACTGTTGTTGTGGTTAAGTGACATCAAGTCAGAACCAAGCCAAAGCTGACATTCCAGGGGGTTTTCAGAGGCATTAAACTGCACAGGAAAAGACTGCTCATCTTTCTGCCATGGAGCACCTAGTGGATTCAAACTGCTTATCTTTGTATTGGCAGTGTGATTTCTTACCACTAAGCCACCAGAGCTCCCTTCTAATACAGCAGGGCTTGCTACAACAGAGCAAATGTATATCTTACTTAATTGCCTTAAGAAATGAATGCTGGAGTTGGATCAGGACAGAGCAGAACAAAATAAAACCCTAATAACTTTAATATAATAAGTAACAATCACCAATAAACTTGGACACTGGAACTAGAAAGTTCACTTATATTAGCACTGAAATAAGGAAAATATGAGAAAGTAGTACAGAAAACAGTAGAAAAAGGCTTTACCTCTCCATGATCAAACTGGTACTTTCTGAAATGGGGAGAAAAACAATAAATCAACTACAACTGAATCATTACTGAAGAATGCAGTTCATTTATATGCATTTTTATTTTAGGAATATGAGTTTGACAACTTCTGTGAAATCCCCTTCAAGAACACACAGATCTAAGATAAAATAATAAACATGTATAGATCAAAATTGGTCCAGCAACCGTTTAGGATAGTTCATTGCTTAAAAGGACAACATTATACCATGAATATTTGCCTATGTGGATACTTATGAGGTCACTAGAAAATACTTCACTAGTGATATCCTAGCAATGCAGGGGTTCAGGGGAGTGACGAGTCTTGTCAAAGGCAACAGGCCTGCTTCCCACTCCCCAGGTCTGCTCAGTTCTCCCATGGCTATGACTGCAACAGAGTTTAGGGTCTGAAAATCCCTCATTAGGGTCATACAAACAGTTAAAATAGTCTATCTGGCACCAGTACTTAGCAGATAAAGGGTATCTGTTCAGAGGTTTACATAAAGGATATTATATGTTTAGAGGTTTACATATCCCTGTCTCACTCCATACCTCTCCAAGTGAGAACCATCATGTCACTGAAGATAACCTTGCCAGTAAGAATTTGATCATGTTACCCTCTTACTTAAAATGGACTCCAGTGGGTTCCCTTTGCAAATGAGAATAAATTCTCAACTCCTCACTCTGTACATAGTCTTCCTTAGCTAGTCCCCACAGTTCACTCTTCAAGCTGGTCCCCACAGTTCACTCTTTGAACTCATGTTCCTCTTCCTGGCCAGTATGTTACAGTCACAGTAAATGAAATCTGTTCCTTACAACATTGGAGGGGCCTTTGAGTTGACTATCTGGCTTTTAGAACGCCTTCTCTCGTAGAAAATTAGTACATCTTGCCTTACTCTCCCTCCTAAAATGAACTCTTCAGAATTAAAGAGTACAAATCCATCCCTCCATCTACTTACTATACCTAAAAATTCTGGGGCTACATCAATAAAGAGGGTAGGGCAAGTCCTTTTTTCCACAAAGCTAACATTTAAGTGGAAGGAGACATCAGAAAGCAGTAAACAAGCACATACTATGTGTTGTGGTAAGGACATGAGCTGTAGAGAAAAGTGAAGCTGGTGTGGTCTCTGAGATTTCAGGAAAGGGCATTTTAAGCAGAGGGAAGAAAGAATGCAAAGGGTGGGCTAGCCAAAAGGACAGGATCACTAGAGATTAGAGGAGGGACAAAAGAATGACAAGGGACCAGATGATACAGGGCCTTTGAGGTCATAATGAGGCCTCTGACTTTACTCAGTGATTTGGAAAATTATTTGAATAGAGCTATGACATGATATGACTTCTGTGTTTAACGGATCTCGTCAGTGTTCTGTAGACAACAGATTAATGGGGGGTAATGACACAAGCAGGGAGCCTGTTAAGATGTTACCACAATTATCCAGAAAAGACTGTGTAACAAGGAATATGGAGGGGTGAAGTGGCAGACAAACTATGGATGCATTTATTAGTGCTAAAGGAAGAATCAAATTGGAAGAGGATGGGCCATCAGAAGTTCAATTTTGTAAAATGTGACATTTTTATCAGATGTCTAAGTAAAGATTATTAAACAGGTAAGTAAATAAATGTGAAGACCAAATAAGAGGTTTAAGCTGGAGATATATAAATAAATGAGTAGATATATTTTTTTATCTTACATCCACTATTCTTAATTACAACTTTAAGCAACCCTATAGGAGAGATTGAATACTACTGTATCTTTATTGTAAGGAGCTTTGATAGCATAATGGGTAAGGAGTCACACTGCCAAGGTTCTGTGAGAGAAAGACAGGCCATCATGCAATTTATATATAGCCTCTATAATCCCACTGGAGGGCCAGCAATGAGTTGGTTCTGATCTGACAGCAATGCATAAGTGAGTGATGTTTTGCAAAGCTCACTGCTTCATCTTTCTCCCAACAATCAGCTGGTGAGTTCTAATCACTAATCTTTTGGTTCACAATTAAGTACTTAATCACTGGACCACAAAGATTCCTTTTCTCTATCTTAAGCACCAATATATTTCTGAGGTCTAAAGCTTGACACACAGAGCCCAACTCATTTGTTCATTTGAAATAAGTGAACGGTTCAATGAACCCTTATATCAGGAGCACACATTTGATTTGAGAATTCACTTTCAAAAATACATTAGCAAACTCAGTATAATTATATGGCAAATAAAAGCAGCAAAGTAGAGTTTGCTTTATTTCTCTCCTAGACAAAAATATAAATGACTAGAGTTGCCATCTATTAAGCACCTGTAATGCTAATATGTGCAATAATTCATATTAACTCAGGTGTCAAAGCCACTTATTATCTCTATTTACAGCCTAGGAAAGAATAAATGGGGATACTGAAACAGGTATCTTGATAATTTTTTAAACATATCACTTGCTCCCTTTCATTTTATATTTACCTGGAACTTTAGTGCTTACTTGAAATATGCCAGCGTGTTACTCACTCCTCTCCCCTCCCCCCCCCAAAAAAGCTTTGATCCTTTCAGAAGCTTGCTGGGTTTTCTAATTATTTCTATAGTTATTTTTTAAAGACTGCTTTGTTTCTGTTAAGATGCCCACTACAGTCTTCTAGAGTTGCACACTATAGCTTTGTACTTAGGGCATCACTTCCTCGGGTCATCAGAAATAAAGTCGCCTCAAATGAAGAGAAATTCTGGCATTTATACAAGAACCTTTTCCTTGGTCCCAGGCTCTCTGTTGAAATGTTTTAGGTGTATGCAAGGGTACCATTACAGCAAACTGCACCTAAATGAGAATAAGTATGCTCTCAGGAGAACACACAATCATTTACTGGTAGTGATGAGGTTTAAGAAAATAATAAGGTCTCATAAAACCACATTATAAGAAAAATATATGGGCATATATGAATTTAACAATAATCATCCTCAAAAATAAAATGCCACTAAAGCATGAAAGTAGAATTAAAATGTTTTCATTCCATCCTCTAATCTTATACTCTTAACAGGGATTTTATCCATCAAGGTGCCTCTAAAGCACGCAAACACATCAAAAGCCACCATATTTCAAGCAAAGTTGTGTGTATGTGTGTGAGTAATGCTTTGTGACTGTTTAACATTCAATACTATATAATGGAAACATTTCCATAAAGATGGTCTAGTTCTTTGTCCTAGGATCAAGTCATTATTAAACAAATTCATCAGTAATTACCATTTTGCTGGTGACCATTTTCACATGGACAGTAATACCACAGGGATCACCTTCTCTAGTGGCTCTGTGTTACTCTGGGAGACATGTGCACTGGTGGAATAACAGTGCTGAGTAGCAGACTCAGCCTATGTTCTGCTAGGTACTGACAAACCACTCTTCTACCTATTTCCTCCCATTCCTGCAAACACTGAATAGAAATACCTTTTCACTCTCTACAAATTAGATAAAAAGGTTTTTGCTCTAATATGACTTTTTAATTGCAGAACTGAACCCTTCCCATATATCTTTAGTCCTTTGTATATTTTCTCTTATTTGACTATTGCTTATTGTGTACTTGGTACTGGACGTACACTGCTGAAGTGAGCGGGACTAATCCTTCTTCTCAGGAGACAAAGTAACATATCAATAAGTAAAAATGATGATAAATGAATCCAGGGAAAGGTATAGAGTGTAAAGGTGAAGAACAGCAAGGAAGGGAGGAGGAAGCTGCATGGAAATGACGGCCAAGAAGGGCTTCTTAAAGAAAGGGACATTCCACTGAGGAACAAAGGAGTTATCTATACAGAAATACAGAGGCAGGGAGGATTGTGTGATAATGGGTGAAGTTCCAGAGGGCAGGATGTAATTTTTCATGAATAAAGTTTTAAAAGGAGGTAACTGGGACTAAGTAGGGAAAAGCAAGAGTGAATCTGTTCTACAAAATGCTTCATGGTGTCCTTCACTCATTTTACTAATGGATGTTAAGCATTTTTATTACTTGATGAGTTCTTAGTATTCTGTTGTTAGCTGCCATTGAGTCAGCTACAATGACAAATCAATGAGACTCTATTAATAACTCTGGAACCTTGCTTGAACCTGCACCATGGTCATATCTCTTTGATGTTCACGCCCATTGCTGCAGGCACTCTCACTGGTGATATTCCTGTTTTCTTCACCTTATACTTTTCTAAATATGTTATTAATACAATTATTCATTCCTTGTCATACATTGCAAATATTGTCCCCAATTTTAAATTGTTCTTTAAAAAAATGCTGATATATCTTTGACCAAATAAAAAAAAATGTACTAGATCAACTTTATCAGGCTTTTCCTTTAGCTCTTGGTTGTTATGTCATGTATCTTAAATAAGACTATAAAAATTATTCTTAAGGATTCTTTTTTATATTTAAATTTTTGTTCCATCTGGGTTTTATTTTATATGAAAAGTACAATCTGCATTTAGCTTTTTGTTCCCTGCACTTTTCTCTCTCTAAAAAAAAAGCAATTCCGTAAGTCCTAAAACCAGCCGTAGAAAAATATATTTTCTCTTCTGAATCACAGAACAAAGCTGTGTCCTTCTAATGAAGTGTAGCATAAAATTACTGTTAGATTACACTGGATGAGACTGGGTAATAACAGGTGATACACTGTTCTGCAGAGTAGGAAATATGAAAAACAATCAAGGGGTATGACAATAAAAACAAAAATCCACCCAATTATCAAATGCAAAATGCATAAATATGTAACCATGAAATAAAGGAACACTATAAATGCACATTTACTTATAGGTTAAAGAAGAGTTAATAAAGATTATTAACAGCATATTTACCTTATATGTGTTTGTTGTTTAACTAAGGCACCCCACATATCACTAATAATCTGTAAATAGATTTTAAAACATCTTAAAATAGCAGTATGGGGAAATATAAAATATTAACTACATTGAAACAAACTTTAAAATGTTTAATTACAACTATGAGAAGTATAGTGATATAACTCAGAAAATATTTGGAAAAATGTAAATTTCTACAGTGTTTGATCTTATCTACTTTAATACCTAACAACCCTACAAGGGATGATTTCTTTAAAATCCTCTTTGCAAATAAGCAAACAAGCTCACATGAATTAAATTAATTCCCTGAAGGTGAATAGCTCCTAGAAAGTATTGCTGGGTCCTGAACCTAGGCCTTCCAGCTTCAAATTCCTATGTAGCACTCTGTCAAGATTACTGGCAATGCATTTCCTTGATTATACCCACACAAAACTGGAAAATTGGCTCCAGAATGGATAATCACAGCAATAAGCATTCGAAATGTACTAATTGCATTTTCATATACAGCAGGAACTGAGAGCCCATCTAATCTGAAATCCCATTCGAAGTATGAACATTCTCTAAACATTTCTGACAGGTTTTAAGGCAGTCCTTGAGAGAACCATCTAGTTGCTAGTTATGTGACTCTACTGCACTTTCCCATGTTAGTCCTCTGAATTTTGGACAATTGTGTCAAAACAAGTATCCTCTTCCTATTTAAATCCTTTCTTCTTTAAACAAAATGTCCCATTTTTTTAAATCTGATCACATTGTCAGCCATTTAGGTAGCTGATTCTATCTAAATTCTAGATCACCAATGTCTACTGCTGGAGGACCTACCAGGTAGTATAAGAAGGTGCAGGAAGCCCTGCCTAAACCCATGCTGATCACAGCTAGTGGTGCTGTGGGAACACAAGGAGAACACATACAAAGGCCAAGATGTGGGTAAGAGGCTAACTCTGGTTCTTGCTCTTCCTGTGCTTTTTAAAATATTTAATTTGTTAAGTATGCATGCTTTTTGACAGATAACTTGGGAACAACTCTTCTGACTTTCTGACTGGGTATTTATCATATTTGAGATGAAAATACCTGTGTACCCTAAAGGACTATTGCATAACCAAATGATGTAACATAGGTGAAAAGATTCTGAGAGAGTCAAAGTACAGTGCAAACATAAGACATGAATTAACATTACACTACATAAAATTCTACAAACAGAAGACATTGGTTAACACAGAAATCATCACCTCCAAACCAGAATTGTACATCTGGACTTAGAATTTCATTACCAAAGCCACATTAGGAGTCTAGATATTTTATCTAGTTTATCAATAGATTAATTATCTTCTTTGATAATGAACAGTAACAAATAATTTGGGCATATAGTCATATTTTAAAGAAATGTAACTTTAAAAATTTTTTTTAAATTAGTTAATTTAAAAAATAAAAACATACAAAAAGATTAAATTATTCTGTAATTATTTACATGGGGGAAACCTCTATTTCTTTCAAAATAACTTTTTAAAATGTGTAAATATTATTTACTTAAGGGAAAAATCTTTTATTAAAAAAAACCAAACACAACAAACGGTGTTATTAAAGCCCGAGCCATCCTTTAACTCCATACTAGCAGACAGCAAAATATTTTTAAGGCTTGTACCTATCTATGAGAGAGAAAAAAAAAAATACAGAATATGTTTCATTAAACCCATGTAAGAACTTGTATCAGATTAACATTTAACTAAGTCCAAGCACATGTAACCAGGTGAAATCAAGAGCAGTGCATATTAAAGGACAAGCTCATACATACCTTTCTAACAATTGCAATAAACACTACAAGAACCACAGGAAGCAGCAATGTCTTTGTATACCTCCATGGAGTCTAAAATTAACATACATGTATTAGAGAAAAGCGTTATTTGAGACAGACAACATTTAACTTAAAGAGCCAACTGAAATTTTTCTACCGCTTGAGAGATGAGAGCACTCATCTACCTAGATATAATTTACCTACTGTCTCTTACAATAAAAAGAAAATAAAGGGGTTTTCCATAGAAACAACAGTAACAAAGTTCTTTAGAATGGTGAGTTGGGAAGTACTAAGAAATACAATTCCCAAACACATGAAGGTATGAAATGAAGGCTGACTGTTCCTTCTTTGTACACCACTTATGGATCTAGAGAGCTTGACTTTGTATTAGTCTAATGTCAGCAGATTTTCCTGTAAGTATACTTTGGAGATGAGAAAACTCTTACCCATCACACACACACGACCAGTATTTTATAAGATGGACAGTGACATTTTTCCCATTTTCTATAATACTGTAATTACAGAAAATTATTCTTAGTAACAAAGCTCTTCAACATTGTGCTTCTCTGCTCCTCTCAATAATTTATTTAGGTCAGTCTTAAAAAATCCTGGGTTGAAAATTTTTAAACTGTGATTTACTTGCGGTCTCCCAGCACTTCCCTTCACAAAAATAAATGTACACTATTGAGTCAAATACTGTTTAACTCTCTTAAAAAAGAGCTACCCAGTCTGAGCAATATTAAAAATATTGGTAATCTTAGTTCTATAAAGTACACAGTGAGTATTTTCCAAATGCCTTACTCACAATTCCCTATGGTTATTGCTGTTGTTGGGTGTCACGTCTGTTGTCACCCTCCAGCAGGTTTTCAGAGGCACCTGGGAGGATATTACTCATCTTTCTCCTGGAACACAGCTGGTGGATTCAAATCATGTGCCTTGTGGTTGGCAGAGTTATCTCCTTCCCTCTAAGCCATCAGAGGAACCTATGACCCACAGGGACCCCACAGGGAGCAGAGCTGCTCCATCAGGCTGCCTAGGCTGTCATTTTACAGGGAAAGAGCATCAGATCTCTCTCCTGCAGAGCTGTTGAATGAGATAAAAATCACCTGACTCCTTGGTAGTTAGGCAAACAATTAAAGCTGGTCGCTAAAAAAGAGAGCCTTTAGATAAATATTACTCTTCCCCAAACGCCGTTGTTCTTGTTAGGTATAAAAGAAGACAGCAAAATCAGTATCAGAAAAGACTTGAGAACTTGCTTTTGGATGTTCCTAAACTCCCAAACAGCTAAAAGGGATGGAAAGAAATAATAAAGCAAAAGAACTGAAGAGAAGATTTCAAAAGATGGACAAGGAGACAAAGTGAAGTTCTATGACAAAATCTGCAAAGACTTTCAATTAGAAAACGAAAAGGGAAGAATACACTCAGCACTTCTCAAGTTGAACATCCAAAAAAAGGGGGAAAAATCAGTTGTAGCAGTCAAGGATTATATGGGTGAAATAATGAATGACACAGCATTCATTATTTACATACAGGAAGGAATCTGGAATGGTCAACTAACCTGAAAAATCCATATATTGTCCCCATTCCAAAGAAAGGTGATACAACAGAATGCAGAAATTATCAAATATTATCATTAATATCATATGCTAGCAAAATATTGCTAAAGTAAAAAAAAAACTGGCTGTAGCAGCACATTAAAAGGGAACTGACAAAAATTCAAGTCAGATTCTTAATAACATATAAAATAGGGGATATCATTGTAGATGTCAGATGGTCCTTGGCTGAAGGTACAGAATACCAGAAAGAAGCTTGCTTGTGTTTTATTTACTATGCAAGGCTATTCAACAGTGTGTATCATAATGTTATTATGAATAGCATTGCAAAGAATAGGAATTCTAGAACAAGCAATTTGATTTGTTTGACACCTGTGGAGAGACCCCATGGCAGTAGTTCGAACAGAACAAGAGGACACTGTATATTTTAAGAACAGGATAGGTAAGCTTGGGCTGCATCTTTACACCCCACTTGCTCAATCTGCATGCTAAACAAACAACTTGAGAAGATGGACTATAAAAAAACTAATGTGGCTATATGAAAACTAATGTTGCATCAGGAATAGAGATTTATTAATAATCTGTGATATGCAGATCTGTATGCTGAGAAAATAATTTAAGAAGCTATACTTTATGAAGAAGAATGTGTGCTATGGAGATAGCACAATTTTACTTGCTCAAAGTGAGTAGGTCTTCAATATGGTTTATATCTCAACATCAAGAAAACAAAAATCTTCACTACTGAACCGATAGGCAACATCATGAAAGATGAAGAAAAGACTGAAACTGTAAATTATTTATCCTACTTGGATCCATGGTCAAAACTCTTGGTATCAGCAGTCAAGAAAACAAAGTATTTGCTGCATTGGGAAAATGTGCTGTCAAAGGCCTTTCCATAAATCTAAAGAACAACAATGTCAGTTTAAAGACTAAGGTGCACACAACCCAAGCCACTGTCTTTTCAATTCCTTGGTATGCATCTGAAAGTTGGACAATGACTAAAGATGACAGAAGAATCGATGTCCCTGAGTTGTGTTGGAGAATACTACTATATATCCCATGGACTGCTAAAAGAACAAATATATCTTGGATAAAGTGCAAACAGGGTATACCTCAGAGGCCAGGTTGGTGAAACTTTGTCTCAGATACTATGGACATGTTGTTAGGAGGGGCCAGTCCTTGGGAAAAGACATCAAGCTTGAAAACATAGACAGTAAGCATAAGAGAGAAAGATTCTCAACAAGATGACTGACCCAGTGACTGTAACAATGGCTCAAATGGAGAAGATTCTTGAACATACATGGACCACCAGGTCTTGTCCTGGAGAGGGTGAAATCAAGTTTCTCCCTGGAGGTAAGGACTTTGAAGCTCTGTCTCACATACTTAGGGCACATGGCCAGGAGGGACCAGTCCTTGCAGAAGAACATCATGCTTGGACGGTTGGAGGGACAGCACAGGAGAGGAAGAACCGGAGATGGATTGACATGGTAACTGGGGGAATGGGATTAGGTGTGTCAGAGTCAGTGAGACTGAATAAGGTATGGTTCAGAGCTACTATACACAGGGTTGCTATGAGTTGCAGGCAACTTGATGGCACAAAACAACAAGTTTATTAGAGATGATGATGATGGCACAGAATAGGGCAGAGTTCAGGTACGTTGTTCATGGTATCACTGTGAACAACAGTCAACTCACTGATACCTAACAACAGCTGACTTTTATGTATAAAGGCCACAGTTAAGATATTTAGGACATGGAGGTTACTGTTACCATGACCCTTCCTGAGAAATCCACTGGAGAGGAGCGTCATGCCCCCAAGAAATGGCAGGAGGGACTGTAGCTCAAAACTGGCAGTGAACATTAAGACAACAAACAAAAACCCCAAAAAATCAACCTACCTACAAACTTATGTCTTAATGGAGATAAAGGTGATAGAACAACGTATGTGCTAGCAAGGAGGACTTACAGGGGTAGTTAAAGCATGGGGGGGAAGAAGGGGAGAATGTCCAGGAAGTACAATAATCTCAATGACTATAATGCTGACTCCCAGAAACCCTGTGGGTGCACCAAAGATTGTCAGTGGCTGCTTTTGGAAGTTGTACTATCAGGCCTTTCTTCTGACTTACCTCTAGATTGACACAAACCTGCTACCTTTGGTAGAGGTCACGTAGAGGGCCACCCACCCTCACTGTGTAACTGCAGCAAGTTAGCAGGTGGAAGTAGAGAAGAGACAAGAAGTTACTAGGTAATTTCATCATCACTCAGTAAGAGATGAATAGACAGGGTAAAGACACTGTAGTAGGGAGCTCTAGAGAAGTGCTCCATAGAGAGCTGCACTGCTAAACCAAAGGTGTCACTATGGTGGTTTGAATCCACCAGCAGGTCTGAGGGAGGACAATGGGGAAACATCTATTCAGCTTACAGCCTTTGAACATGTGCCAGAAAGTCAGATAGGAGTCAATTCCAAATTGATGGTGACAAGAAGGTCATTATATAAAGGAATTCATAAAAAGGTACCATTTAAAACAAAGCTATGAAACGTCCAAAATACCACAAGGTGTACCAGAGAGAATGCCACATTTTCTTTTCTGCAAATGAAACAACAATGTAAATAACACACTCACATATACAGCACATACCATGCACCTAGGAAAGTAATGCTGAGAAGCTTGTGCAAGTGGTAAAAGTGTTTAATGTGCACGTTGTTTATGTAAAAATAACTGTAAGCACAGGAGAATATGCAAAGGAAACAATTCACACAATAAAAGATTAGTGTGTGTTCTACAGGCATTACATTATTTTCTGTTTTCTTAAAAACTGTTACTGCTCTTCTAAAGTCAGAAGTTATACGTGCTTATGTTAAAAATTTAGAAAACTGAGACAAAGACAACTAACTGCGTGTTTCAATCAGTTGTGAGCATTTGTCTCTCTACTTACATCCTTTGGTGGTTTCTACATCTGTGTGTGGGTCAGACTTTTTTGGGGAGAGGGGCTTAAAGAGTTCTTGGTATTTCTTTTATTATTGATTTGGACAAGCTCCTATTACATTAATCTACTGTCCTATTTGCTGTATTTATGGCAATAATTATTCCAGTAAGTCCTGTGTTTTTAAATTTTAAAAATATTTAACATATAGATGTTTTAAGTCATATGTACATAAATCTAGTCATTCTCATATGGGTGCTTTCATTAGTATTATGGCCATTCAGAGGTAAAAATAATATTCATCCAAATGACTTTCAAATTTATTTTTCAAGTTTCATTTAATACATTAATGAACTGAAATGAAGTTGGTATATAATGTGAAACAAGACGTAACTCTAAATACCTACCATGAGCCAAACACCAAATTGTTCCAATACCACTTTATCAGTTCTGGCAGGAGAGTGACGCTATAAATGTGATTTAAATAATCCATCCTGTCTCCATTTATCCTATGTTTCACTGTTCCATATTAAACATGCACTCATGCACACGGGTAAGCACATGTCACCAATCTACTCAGGCTGACTATTTTCTGTCATAAATAAGGTCCTTGTCTGTCTCTGCACTTTACAATTGTTACTGGTGGCTGAGTGGTAAGGAATTGCACTGCCAACTTGAAGGAATGTGGTTCAAACTAACCAGCTGCTTTCGGGGAGAAGGCTGGGCAAAAACCTGCTAGAGAATCAACTATGGGTCAGTCCTGACATCAAAGTCAACCGCCACTACACCTTTTCATACATGGAAAGTAGCAGAGCCTTCTTATTGCTGTATTTTATATTAACAACATAATTAAAATGTATAATCACTGTAGAAAAGTAAGTTACAAAAAAACCCCATAATTATCAATTATCTCTCCATCACAAAACCAGCATTAAAAGTTTTGCTTTTTTACACTTTACCCCATGTGTATTAACCATACATAAATGAGATCAAATTACTGTTGACGCCCTTCCACATCTTAAAGATCTTTCCACATCATTACAATATGATAATAAATCATCCCCCTTCCCCACTGTATGACCAAACCTTACAAGCAGCACACTCCCTAAGCTGCTCTGCACTGTGTCCACAGCACGGCCCTAGTGAAGATATCTGAACATGTTCTTTCGACTCACGAAGGTTAGGAGCTGTCTCAATAAACAAGCAGTGCCATCACATCTCTGATGGTTAAAACTCTCAGATGTGCTGGCATTCCTGACATCCTCAATAATGTTCATGGTCCTGACCAAGTACTAGTCATTCCTACACCTCTTATCAGCCATTATGTGTTAAAAGCATTCGCTGGAACATAAAATAACACCAAACAAAATAATTTGCCAGGACACTGGAGTAAACAATTTATCTGCAAGAGACAACTCAAAATAGCTTATAGCTGAGTCTGCAGGTGGTCCTGCAGGTCTGCAGACCCCGGGTGTGCTCTCAAGGTTGATGGGACGAAGGGGCACATCTACAGCATAACATGGGCCAGTTCACTCTCACATACTTTGAATGAAAGTCTCAAAAATAATATATGTCTTTACAAATAAGAACCACATCGGTTGTACTAAAAAAATAAGCCACATATGTACACATTTATTGAACAAATTAGCTTCTAAAGTATTGAAAAATAATCTTATTTTAAACCAAATATCATTAGGATACCTAAGTACTTTCCTCTGTATGATTTATGTATCCAGAGGAATCTATGTAAACAGTGTAACGATATTGCATTCTTTGTAGCATATTACTGGTAACCAGTGAATGACGACACAAGAATGAAACACATTGATTCAAAATCTGAAGTTATTACACTTGCAGGCTTCTGTGTGAGCCAATGAAACTACCCTCTAGTTTCCTTCTAAAGATGAGAAAACTGAAGACAGTTTTAGAAAGAAAGAATACTGTTGAAATGAAAAACTTGTATTCAATCACATTTTTAAAGTGATGTGATCAGTCAATCACACTATAACAAAATGTGTGGCAATGGAATTTTGAGAACTTGGCTGAATTAATGACTTTTTTGAAAAGTGGCAACTTCCTCTTTGTTTAGTCATCCAAGAATTATTGGATGCATGCTCCTCAATGCATGCTTCTAAACTATCAAAATGAGAAAAGCCTTTACATTTTGGGGAGCTGTACTAACGTAAATAGGAACATTTTCTCCTAAACTGCAAACTGTCCTTTTCTCTCAAAGCAAGATAACAGCACACAGAGGAAGGAGTCTGAAATAACAGGAGCACCCTTTATGAAAGATGAATAGAACTCGAAAAAGTAAGGAAACACAAGTAGAAACCACATTTACCTCCTTCTCCATGAAGTCAAACTCTGCTGCACAAGTGTACAATAAAGTGTCAAAATCCTTGTAACTGAAGAATTTTGATGTTAATAAGTTGCCAATGTGAGCCTAGCAAGAAATTGAAGGTGGTATTATTATATTAAACCATACATTGTAATAATGCATATCTTAGTGTGATATAGTTTCTAATACAGCACAGCACCCATTGTTACCACATTGGGTATCTTTTTGTTAAACAAGGCAGTAAATCTACTCCTTTAACTTCACAGTTCTCCCTTCCTCTTAGGAAAATGAAGAAGAGCTTTGATGCCATTCCACCCTCTATGCTCCATGGTGACACATGTTCAAGGCTTTGTGGAGAATTGCATTGCTAACACAAAGGCTGTGTTTCTGGTGGTTCAAATCCACCAGCTACTCTACAGGAGAAAAATGGGCAGTCTGTGCCAGATGATTTATAGCCTTAAAAACCTATTGGATGGTCAGTTACAAGTAGAGTGGGACTTAAAAGCAATGATTTTTTTTTTTTTTATTTCTACACTTACAACTGGCAGCATCACTATGGATGGTGAAGAGACTGAGATAGTTAACAGATTTCGTTTACTTGGCTCCACAGTCAACACTCTTGTTAAAAGCAGCCAGGAAATCAAGAGACAAACTGCATTGCGAAAGTCAGCTGTGAGGGACCTCTCAAGAGTACTTAAGAGCAATGACATCAGGCTGGAGACTAAGGTGCACCTAATCCAGGCTACAGTCTTTGCAATTACATGCTATGCACCAGAGAGTTGGACAGTAACTACTGATGATTGAAAGAGAATTGATGCCTTTGAGCTGTGGTGCTGGAGAAGAGTGTTGAATATACCATGGACTGCTAGGAGAACTAACAGGTTTGTCCTCAAGAGGGTGAAGCTGGAGTGCTCCTTGGAGTCAAGGATTCTGAAGCGTCATCTGACATATTTTGGGCATGTTGTAAAGAGGGACTGGCCCTTGGAGAAGGACATCATGTTTGGGAGAGTGTAGGGACAGTGCAGGAGAGAGGAAGACCCTTGATGAGATGGATCAATTTTGTGACTGGGGTGGTGGGAATGAGTGTGTTTTAGATGGCGAGGTTGGCATAGGATAGAGCGGCATTTAGGGTTCTCGTACATAGGGTTGCTCAGAGTCGCAAGCGACTCGATGGCACATAACAAAAACAACACCTACTGTCCAATAAAGCTCTGTAGGAACCTCTCACGAGGTGAAAGTTTGGTGACACAAACAGATTTTATCACACAGGGACAATGGGCTATGGAGTAAAGAAATCGAGTATTAACTCTCATTTCTGAAAAGGAAATTGGAAAAAAATGTAAAAATAGAAGAAATCTATGGATTTTGAACTAAAATGAACCTTTCGAATTAAAGCAACTTTCATGTAATTCTTTGTATTTTACCACAATGGGAAAATGGAATAATTTTTAAGCTGAGAAAAGTGTGTTTTAAAGATACACAATATTCACTAAATTTTCAAGTTTATTGCTGTCTAAAAATTTATGAACCAAAGAAAGAGTGTAGGGTAAGACATCTAAGACAAACCATAAGTTGTATTGTTATTGAGTTGAGCATGACTCATAGAAACACTATGAACATAAGACCTATATCCTTTATATTCTATTGTTTCTGAAAGTTCATTTTGTTTAGGAAGTGGATACCACTTCTGCTTCCAAACCTGTCTTAAACTGGGAACTCCACCAAACACTATCCACTATGGGCAAACGCTATGGCATTTGACACTCCAGTGGCACAAGGTTCAGCATCACAGCAACTCCAGGTTACCTTAGTACAGCATATTGACAGAAGAGCACTGTACCACCTGGAAGACTGTTTCTTCAAAATATTAATAACAACTGACTTTTAAATACAAAGGCCCTCCCGAGGTCTTGTTGACTCTAAATAAGAGACTTAAATAAAAAACAACTAATATAGTATGTTGTTGTTGTTGTTATGTGCCGTTGAGTCTTCTACGATGCATAGTGACCCTATGTATAGCAGCTACGAACCATTCCTTATCCTGAGCCAGTCTCACTAATTCCGATACAGCAATCCCCATTGTCCCACATACTGTATCAATCCAGCTCATCTGGGGTCTTCCTCTCCTGTGCTGTCCCTCCACCCTTCCGAGCATGGTGTCCTTCTCCAAGGACTGGTCTCTCCTGGCCAGGTTCCCAATTATAAGTAAAATTTTACATAAAATATGCAGGAAGTGAGAGAGAACATGGGTAGGAGTGAAAGGTGGTAGGCAGTAAAATGCATAAATATATTCTCTTGTTGGAAGAAGAAATGCATTGAAAAGTTTAAGAAATCTAAAGAGAGAATACAGAACTCCTTTAAAAGATTTTTAAAAACTTAATCCAATGAAAACCAAACAAATTATCTAAATAGAAAGAAAAATATATATGGCTTTCAGCCTATTAGAAGAGGAGGAAAATTAGCCAACAAAAATGCGGGAAAAAATAGAGTTTATGTTGTTTTTTTCTTGTTAGTTGCGGTACACTTTAATTTTAAATTACTTCCTTGACAGGCTCTTGATTTAAGATGTGTTGATGAAACAATAGCAACAAAATAAACAAAAAATTTACTGATATGAAGAATCTCTAATATACAAAGCAAAATTCTTCTTATTTTCTCTCATACTTAACTACCAAAAAGAGAAAAAGAAAATCTGAGTAAGATCAACTTGGATTAAATTAGCACAGGTTGAATGAAGCATAGCTCTGGTGGTCTAGGGGCAAGAAGGTGCACTGCAATCCTGAAGAAATGGGGTTTGAGGCTACCAACTGCTCCATGGGAGAGGATGGGCAATCTCCTCTTGTGCGATTAACTACTGGAGGGTCAGCTATCGGTCGGTTCTTACTTGATGGTACATAACAACAACAATTACCTATAAAGGATTCTAAATAAACCTTATTATACAAGCAGAAAAAGAAAATAGAGGAAATGGGATTATAATATGATCAACGAGGCTCTGAAGTTATCTTTTTTTTAGACTTTATAAAAGTCTAAAGGGGGCTGAAGAGAAAGGAAGGGCATTGGGGAGGAAGGGGAATCTTGAGATAGACTTTGGTGGGTGGACAGAGTGGGAGTGAAGGAATTAGGAAATTTCAGCAGGGACTGGAAAAGGCATGATAATGGTGGGCATGGATCAATGGTGATTGATTTTATAAAACACAATGTATAAGAATGATCCTATGAAACATAATGTGAATAGAGGAATGTGTATGAAACACAATGTATATGAATTTTGCATGCAGACCACTGTGATTTTTAAAAAATAATAGTCTGAGACATAGCTTGAAAAAATTTCTAAAGAAATTAGTTTGCATGGCAATGACTGTATGAAACACAATGTGAATGAATAGTGTGAAACACAATATATACAAATGTAAGCAAACTAATACAAAACATGAAAAATAATTTTTAATCACTATTTTAACTTTATAAATTTTATCTTTCACTTTTTCAATTTAGTAAATACTTTTAAATATTTTAAAATAAAAAGAAGCTCTTAAAATGGAAAAAAATAGTTTGGGGGAAGACAGACTACATTCAGTTACATTTCCTTGACATTATATTAAACAGTGGACAAACTTCATCCTGGATGCTGGCTTTATTAGTGACTCAAATAATTCATTTTTAATCTATTTGATTCTTTATTAGGTCTTTTAAGTATAAACAAAATTCACTTACATCATCTGCAATGCCAAAGATTTTAGATGTCAGATATTTGAGCATGATGGTCCCAAATAACCAAAAACATCCCTGTATAACCTATAAACAAAACAAAACAGAAACATCTTGGTATTTTCATTGTTTGTATCTCTACAATCAAAAGAAAGTACTAAAAAATGCTTCTTAAATGAATAAAATTTGCTCCAAAATTAAGGGACAATAACTAAAAATAAAGATGCACACATACAATCTTACTATCAAATTAATATCTATTTATAGGCTATTTATACAGTTATTGCCATTAAATTACTCATTTACTAACAGTTTCTTAGTGTCTCAGAAAAACATGAACACAATAAAAACTAGAATTTTTACCTACCTACTGAAAATCATTCTTAACTTGCTTCATGAATAGGGCATCTTAACACATCTGAGTCTAAATAGATCTCCTGTGGCACACACATCATTTCCTTAAATGTACAACATTAAAACTACTGATATATTTTAGAAAATGCACTTATTAGATTGATTCTTACCCACAAACTAAGTTCAGATACATTTACTTTCAGCAAATAAGGTTTCACTGCCAGGATAGCCTGCATAAGGAAAATAACCAAGTAAAAGTTAATGCCTGAAGGCAAAAACACAAGTCCCAAAGAATCCTTTTAATAACAGAACTATCAAGAATCTAAAATTCAACACTGTCAACTTTCTACATCAATGCAAATTTCTTCATTCAATGATTTCGAGAAACAGCCCGAATAAATCGAGAATAGAGGAGGTCAGTGAGGGGCTTCTAGAGGTGAAAACAGAACCAGCATATAAAAATTTCTATGGCAAGAAGCTGTGCTGTAATCCCAAAGGCACGTGGTTCAAGGTCACCAGTTTTCTTGAGAAAGCTAGCCTATATAACAGCATATGAAGTTTATAAATATAAGGAACAGTCTCTTTCCCACTTGTTGTTGTTGATTGCCTTTGAGTCAAGCACAACTCATAGCGACCCTATGAACAAAAGACCTGAAGCCTTTCTAAAACTATTGAATTTTTTAATTTTATTATTATTCATGTGTGTGCATGTACCGTCAAATCAGATCCGACTGTTACAGGAGGAGATTGCCCCTCCTTCTTTGGCAGAGCATCTGATGGATTCGAACTGCGCACCTCTGGGATTGCAGTGCACCTTCTTGCCACTAGGCCACCAGAGCTCGCCTAACTATTGTAATTTTTAAAAGTTCACAGAGTTTCCAGAGACATGTCATTATGAATTGGATGCCACTCCTGCTTCCAACTTAGGTCTCCAAATTCCCAGCAGCAAATCCCACTGAAAAACAAGAAAAAATTATCCCAGAAAGTCTTTAATATTAGGGAGGTCTGGTGGTCCAGTCTATAAGGAGTTGTGCTGCTAACCCAAAGCCCAAGCATCTTCAGTGGTTTGGATCCTTCAATGAATGGTTCTGATTTGGAAAAGATGGGCCATCTCTTCTTATGCTATTTACAACCTCACAAACCCAATGGAGGGTTAGCTGTAAGCCAGTTATGACTCAGTGGAAATGAGCTGAGTTCTATCTGGAAAGCCATCTGCCAAAAGCAGAAAAATGTCGATGAGCTTTCATCATTTACCAATTCTATAGGACAGTTTCCCCGTAAACTAACTGTTCTTGGTAGTGACTGAGAAAAACATAGCTGAACTTATTATCTGATACAAACAATCTCATAGTTTGTACATATACACAGGCACAAATAATTCTTTGATCACAGCAGAAAAAGAGAAGGGAACACTGAGATGCTGGAGGGGGAAAGGGAATCAGGGAGCAGGGCAGCAAAAGGCTGTGAACTATAGAGAAAAAGGAGGAAGCATAGAATGGAGAAAGCAGAGTGGCATCCCCAAAATTAACTCTGGGATCAAAACCTAGGTGACTAGACAGAGACAGACAGGACACAGATGAGGAAAGATGCAATGCTTTTCATATTTCACTTGTGGCTGTATTTTTCCCATATGGAAGAGAATATTGCTAAATATTCTTAATCACATATGAAAGTATTCAAAAAGACATATGGGATGGTTCCTACAGAAAATTCCCCAGAAATCCCAACCTAGTTGTTAAAGAATTATTAGTATAAAAAATAGTATTTGGTTTCAGGATACTTACCCATATAATTACCAAAGAGGAAGCATAGTAAGACGTCAATAGCATTGAGTTTCCGAACATCAGTACAAAACAAAGTGCAAGAGAAATCTGGAAAAATTCAAGAAAAAGATGATTAATGCACATAAAACAATGACAGAAAAACCAATATGGATGTTCGTAACAAAAACTTTATATGCTTACTATAAACAAAATTCAAATAGTACTTAACATAATAGGATAAACAGTATAATGAAAACTTAGCACATCCATCCAGTGACTTCAATCCCCACAGGAAACTACCATGTTCCCTTTGCAATCACCCAGAAAGGAATATGCGTAAATTCTAATTTATTTATTCCTAAAAACACAAATGCAAAATTATCATTTAAGTATGCTATTATTTTATTTTCCTTGTCTCCAAAAGCTTTCCATATGAGTCTAAAGCAATCCAACTTCTGTTTAACAGCCAGACTATGACTTATTTAACCAGGTCTCTGCCTACTACTAGACACACGTGTTTCCCCAGTTTCTGCTTGTTTTTCCTACTACAGTGCTATGATAAGCATCTTTAATATGAACATCTTATATATATATGTCAGATATTTAATTCTATCCAGAGGTGCCATGAAATAAGAGTTGATGATTTACACCCAAAAAATTAGGTCACTGTAGATTAGACGCAGCACAGATCTACTCTGACATGCACAAGGTGGCCAGAAGCTGGACCAGATCCCACAGCAACTGGCTTCACATACATGTTAACATATCTACGGGATACATTACAAGCAGTGAAATTAATGAACCAAAGGAGACATACATATTAAAATTAGAAAAAAAATACTGGCAATTAAAAAAAACCACAACTGTATTAAGATTATGTTAAAGGATGATTTTTTTTACCTTATTACAATTTTATTGTAATTTTGTGAAAGTTTACAGAAAGGCTGGGTTTTCATTCATTAATTATTGCACAATTTTTTCCCTCTATCTTCCTCCCCTCACCCAGGGAACTCGACAATATGCTTCTTATTCCCAATTGTTGTCAAATATATAATGCCTAATCATATATTCTTCTTACGTTTTTTTGTTTGTTTTTAATCTTTTGAGGTTTTTTTTGTTTTTTATTTTTTTTAATTTTTTCTTTTTTTCCCCCACAAAAATGATTTCTTTAAAAAAAAGCATCATCGAAATCCAGTCAATAGTGTAATCATAATCACACACTCAATTTCTGTGGGTTCACTACTGTCATAAGCAAGACGGATTCTAGGTGACATTTTAGATTTCACACTAAAGGATAAAGCAACACTAAAAGGAACCATATCTCCTTAACAGGCATGGATTTATTTTTTTCTTTTCTCATGAGATTTAGTATATTACTTCCATTTAAAAAAAATGAAATCAGGGCAATTTGTGTTTCTAGAAGGTTAGATTTATCATGGTGATCCTCCAGTTGCCACTGTAGGATAGTGCAGACCGATTCAAGGCAGGTTACTGTATGTTTCATTAACTAATTTTAGCAGAGAGTTGCACTGCCCACTCAAAGACAGGTGGCTCAAATCCACCAACTGCCCCACGTGACAAAGATGGGCAATCTCCTCCCATGTAATTTACATCCTTGAGGACTTCCTGAATGGTCAGCTGTGTGTTGCTTCTGACTGGGAAACACCAGTTTTGAATTTGAGTAACCGTGTCAATGAATAAATGCAAACTGGTCCCCAGAAGGACAGATTACTATGGAGAACTCCCATTTGAGTAAAACAAGGACCTTGTCCTCAGGAAGCCTCAGCTTCTCTAGAATGAGATCACAGACAGGTGTAAAAAATAAAAAGACTGTTGTGACTACACTGCTTGATTTGTGTTCCTAGAATTCATAAGCTGATCTCTCCCTGTGTCCCTTTTTTTTAAAAACAATTATTATTAATTTCAATGATCTACAGAGATTTTGGAATTCCATTCATTCATTGTTGCATTTTCCTCCCTGCCCACTCCTCCCGCCCCCCAGTTCACTCTTCTCTTTGAAAATTAAAAGAATAATTCCTTCATTTGTATACAAGGCGCCTGCCCACTGCACCTCACCGAGTATACTCCACTCTGCAACCCTCATTCTGGACTCTTATGATAAAAATTTTTTTTCTTTTTATGTTTTTATTATTTTGCATTGAGTGAACATCCACAGATTTTTTTTTATTAATTCAGTTTTTCAGACAAATTTGGTTTTATGGCATTAATTAAAGTACTCACATTGTAAAGGTGTCCTTGTATACCTTCCTTGTGATTCTAGCTTCCCCTCATCCTTCTATCTTATCTGTTCTTGCCTTCTCAGCTTTCTCTTGGCAAACACTCCCTTCTAATCCTGTATAATGGCACTGTGCTATACAGTGAGTACTTTCCTAGTCTTTCTATTCACTTCATAAGCATGTATGTTTTCCACTTGAAAATTAAGTCCTAAGGATGAATTTAGCTCCAAGCTCAGAGGGTAATGGAAGACCACTGTGGCAGATGTTGAATCAGTCCCTATTAGACCCACACACTTGCTTATATATTTTGCTCTACACTGTCATCCCGCTCCATCCAGGACTCTCTGCTGTGACTCTTTTACTCAGCAGTGGTAACTAGGAACCAGCCCTTTCTTGTGGCCTTAGGGTAGTGGAGGTTATAGTTCATGTGGTTCATTAGTCCTATGATCTAATTGCGTCTCTGATTTTCTTTGCTTCTCATTATTTCAGAGAACTCTGGTGGCCTAGTGGTAAGAAACTGTACCACAATCCCTAAGGCAAGCGGCTCAAATCCACCAGTTGCTGCATGGGAGAACGATGGGCAATCTCCTCCTGTGTGATCAAAAACTGGTCGGAGGGTCAGCTATCGGTCTCTTTGGATGACCAGAATAGTCTTCCAGTGCTTAGATGAGTCCATGTTCTTCCTGCACTCTATAGTAAAATAAACTCTAACATATTTTCCCAATCTTCAATTACGCATTAAACATTATCATGGTAAGATGCATATCCTGTGTTTTCCTAACATGGCTTTGGGTTTTTGTCCTTACCTCGGCATTCTCATATCAGTCACAAACAGGCATCTTTCATTGCTTCCTTTCTTAGCTGCTGCTTTCCTGGTGCTGAATTTCCTGTCACCAGCTCTGTCTGGCTATGGCTTGCCACAATCTGGTTTACATAAGGGATTATGTTGGTCTCGCAGCTGATAATGACCAAAGACACAGACCTGCTCATACATTCCTTTTAAACTCTTCTTTCCCTCATCTGTTCCAATTAGTGTTCATTATCTTACCACCAGTACACGAGAGTTCCTGTTGGCTCATGTGCTCCTGAATTTTTCTTCTGTATGTTTGCCAATCTACTAGGAATGTTACCTCATTTACTTTTCTATTCTTTGAATACTTGGTGAGACTGCTTTGTTTCTGTATTTGCTATTATGCTATTTGTGCATTCCTATCATTGCCTATTTTTCTATTGGGCTTTGTTACATTCCTTGTTGTTGACATTGTTGTTGTGTGTCATCAAGTGGAACCGGCTCATAGCTAACCCTCCAGTGTGTTTTCACAGGCAGTAAATCACATAGAAGGAAAAGGTCTACCCTCCTGTGGAACAGCCCGTGGATTTGGGCCACATGCCTTTGAGACTGCAGTGCAACTTCTCATACTAGCCACCAGAGCTCTCGACTTTCCTTAGGAGCTCTCTGTATATTAAAGAAAACAGCTCCTTATCATGTTTGTCTTTGTTCATAGAATTTCTGTATTTATTAGTAATATTGTTTTTATGTTAATAAAAGTTATTCTCTACCACTAGGTCTTCAGGGTTTAGTTCTATGGTTAGAAACTCTTCAAATATAAAATACTCTGTATTTCTTCTAAACTTTGCTTTTTTTATCTGTATTTTCATGAGAAAAATTTTCCTTTGATGCTCTAGAGCCATTTTATTAGAGTCAATCTATTTCTATTGATAAAATGTTAATTAAATGAAAATTTTCATAAGAATTTTGTATTTGTAAATTTTCTTAAGAATTTTGTATTCTAATTATGAAGTTTTTAAAAAGTAACATTTAAAAATTATACTGTGTCTATAATATATAGGTTATTATTTAGGATTTACCTATCTGTATAATATTACGTCTTCAGATCCAAAAGCACAGCACATTGTTTTCAATTCTCTAAGTATTCTTCTACCTACATTAGTAGAATTACAAAATGTTCTTAATAAAAGTGTTGTGTAACAAGGAGACAGAACTGATGAATGAGATCCTCTAAAGATTAAATAAATCTGTGTGCGCATCAAAAACATTTCCCAACAAAGTGAAAAGAAAACTTAATGAGTGAGGGAAAAACATTTGGTTATACCATTTCAGACAAAAGTCTCATATCAAAACTCTACAGAATACTACCAGACTTCCAAAAGAAAAAGACTGATAGCACAATTACAAAATGGGCAAAAGACAAGGAAAGACCTTTCACTGAGGAAGATATATGGATGGTCAACAGACACATGCTCGAAATCACTGACAATAAGAGAGATGCAAATCAAAACCACAATGAGAAACCATCTCACCCCAGAAGCAGTTGCAAAGTTTAACAGGACAGCAAATAATAAATGTTGGAGAGCATGTGTAAGAATGGAACTCTATTGGTGGGATTGTAAAATGGCACAATCACTCTGGAAGGTAGTTTGGCATTTCCTCAAAAAGCTGAACACAGAAATTCCGTATGACCCAGCTAATCCACTACTTGGAATCTACCCCGAGAAATTTAGAACTGAGGCACAAATGAAGATTTGTACACTGATGTTCATAGCAGTGTTATTCACCATTGCAAGAACATGGAAACAAACCAAATGTCCAACCACAACTGAATGGACTGAGAAACTGTGGTACATAACACACGATGGAATACTATGCAAGATGCAGGAGCAAAGATTTTGAAAATTACTACATTACATGAGAGGGACAAGAAAGCATGCTAAGTGAACTCACTCAGTCCCATAAGAGAAGTATACCGTATAAGATCATTACTGTTGAAATAGAAAGACAACTAGTAAAACATGTATGAAGATCCAAGGGGGAAGGGCAGGATAAGAGGGGTGAGGATGGGCAGAGGGTAA